CTTGAGGAAGCAGTTCAAAGCTCTCGGCAAGCCATATGTATGCTTCTGTAAAAAAGACATCTGCAATTCACCAGTGAGGTTCTAGACCTAGCATAATTCATTCGGCAGTCTGCATAGAGAGATGCAAATACACCAGGTTCAGACAATTCTTCAATGCTTTCATAAAATTCATTTAGAAGAATATAAATATTCACATTTTGAATTGTTAACTCAGCTTGTATTTTTGTACAGAAATACCGAACCTGCAAAGATATGACACTTCTGGAAAAAGGCCAAAATAAAGTCAAAATACTTTCATGGTAAGCAAGCACACAAAACACATGCAGTTTCTTTACACAAACACGTACAAACTTCTGGTTTATTAACTACAGCACCGGGTTACAAAAAGAGCTCTTTAAAAAACACCTTCGCTAATCAGGCACTAATTTTTAATGTACTTTGAAACCACTTCGGCTTTTGCTGCGGTTAGACAAGTCGATCCACACTTGAAAGTGCAAGGAGGCTTTAAACTTGTACCATGGTTACCGTGCATTTGTGTTGCAAGAGAAATGGGCCATGGGTGAGGGCAGTGTCTGACTAGCCAGCGAGCTCAGCTGGTTGAGCAAGAGTGCCTGTGCAGCTAGGCAGGCTCTTGCTGAGCCAGCACGATCCCCGTCACACAGGTACTCCATTAATGAAGAGATCATGGGAGGGTAAAATGGGAAAAGCTGAAAAATTGTAGGGCTTGTGCTGAAGGAGGTTTATATTCCTCGCGGGAGCAATACCGAAAAGATGTGTGCTTCGAGGAGGGGCATAGCAGTATCTGTCTAGAATATCTTTAGAAATTCAGTTGCACTGTTCAAGTGACTGCAACGAAAAATGCAGGCGTAAAGGCTAGCGAGAGAAGATGCAGCTTTCTTGCAGCACAAGAGGATGGATGGAGAGTTGTACCACCCAGCACGGTGGTGCAGCCCTGAAGCCTACGTTGCTATATTCATAGCTGCATCTGTTACTTCCTTTTGAGAACACTCAAACACCTTCAGAAATGAAGAAACCTAGACAGAGTCACTTCATTTTTTTCCTTTTTTAAGGACTAACATCATCCCATTTCAAAAGCTTCTGTAGGTTTTGTTATAAGCATCACGGTATTGACATGCAGATTTTTAATCACGCTGGTTGCAATTATACAAATCAGTGATCAAATCCTGGGAGAAGCCAGAGCTTTCGTATATGCTACATTAACACAAAGATTAGACTTTGAATTTGGTGCATTGCCATCAGAGAAACCTACTTCGGAGGTCATATAATATTAAGACTGGGGCCAGTGGATGCAAGATTAGACAGCAAACAAGCTAAAAAAGCGATTATAAAAACATCACAGGAAACAAAATTTATTTTCAAAAAGCAAAGCAATCACGTTTCAATATTTGGAAGGCAGTTGGCAATGCTTTTTGGCATGTGGCTGCTCCACGAAGCCAATATTGTGTAACTGGAAACATTTCAAAAGAAAGAGAATTGGTGAAGTCAAGGACCGTAATTGCAAGCTGTGGGATCTCTGCTCTGATAAAAAAGAGGGCAACCAAGTAAAACTGTAGCAGGTATAAATCCATAAGCCCACTCCATAACATTTTTATCAGCCAACTTGATAGAACTGGAGAGCGAAGGAGGGGGCGGCACAGAGGGAAGGAAAATGGAGAGAGGCACACAAGGCTGAACAGCACGAGCTATTGGGTGCCATAAATCAATGTTTCTAACACGAATCTTAGACAGGAGTACATGACTTCAGTACAGAACAACTGAAATAACACACTTCCAGCTTTTGTTGATGCGTAATCCACTGGAAATGAAAGGCCTGCCTGGGAGGCTGTCTACCACGGGTGTACGAGCTAGAAAAACACTCTGAGCCCGATAGGTTCACAATGATGTTGAAGAGCAGCTCACCAATCTTACGGCTGCAGTTAAGAACTTTCAAGAAGTCAGCCTTCCAGGCAGAGCTCCAAGAAAAGGTGAACGAGCAAGAAGCTGCCATTTGCAGATATTTTAGAAATCCTGGAAGTGTTTGTGTTGGCTCATGCCTCCTGTGCCTGAGCACTTCACTCATTTTGTGCACTAAAAAAAATAAAATAGAAATCCCCTCGCACAAGGATATGCTTGAGAATTGTCAGCTCACATGGGGATCGTTTGCTCAATTTCCTCCCCCAAAAAAGGGCCACGTATTTGGTTCACAACATAAACAAACAAGACACGAAGAATCATGGCAGATCACTTGAGAAATTTGCTTCAGTAACCGGAAACATCCTTCTGATAGCGAAGCAGCAGCCAAGGAGTTGTTTCTGTAAAAAACATGTAATTTTGGCAAATTGTGAAGTGATGTGATAGTCTGTCTTGGTATTTTTGCCAGAAATGTCACAACTTCAGTGTGCTATGACTTGTAAAACACGTTTCTTCCCATCACTCTTCAGCAATAAGGTGGGAGGGGGAAGATGAGGGATTGCTGCATTATATCTCTCCAAGCTGGTTCTTCCCATTAGACAACTCTTAATCCAAACAATTCAGGCTTACAAGTAAAAGCTACTCATTTCTGTAAACACTTCCAGGAGCAGGACCTAGGCGTGCAGGGCTTACAACGAGCATATACCAGTGGACAGAGCTAACCTCGAGTTTACCTCTGTTTAAGAAAGCATGAAGAGAAAACAGTGCTGGCCAAACTGGAGCTTCATCCTTGATACAAGGGAGGAAATTAATACTGATACAAGCCACTTGGTCGTTACGCACCCATCTCATCATCAAGTATTCTTAATGCAATACAAGATCACTGAACAAGTTTCCTAGGATCACTTGGGGATCACTGTCATGATAAAAATAAATAGAAGCGATGCCTCAGAGCATGCTCTTTTATAACCCCCCCTCTCAGCCCCAGCAGGGATCTCCTTGCAGGAGGACAGCGTAGTGGCAGAAAGGAAACAAACCCCAGCTTGTTTGTTTTACAGGGCCTCCACCATCGCATCTGGTTACCTCTGGAACGAGGAGGCTCAGCGCCCGAGCAGGCAGAGCCCTTACACCGAAGTGCAGCTCTCGGTCCGCTCTGTCAGAAGCGGCACACAGCAGCCGCTGACAATGCATTATGCAAGAGCCACGTTACAAAGGGAAAGGGTTTTTTGGCTGGGATACAGAGGCTGGAGCATTACAAGGGGTCCAAGCAATCTGCAGAGGCATAATACAAACCAAAGCCATTTAAATTCCTCTGTAAAACGTAGACGTTCATTAGCATAGAAAAGTTTCACAGGAAAACAATGACAAAGTCAAAGCCATCTGATTTTCATATGCTAATTAATTAAATATGCCAAGTGCATTTAATCTCTTATTATAACCATAGGGGGAGACAGACCAAACTCTTGAAGTTCTGAAAAGCCAGGTCATTAGTGTGCCAAGTCATTCTTCAGATCTCCGTCGTGTATACAAATTTACATTCCCAACTTATTAGGTATGGAAGTAAAACCCGGCTCCCCCCTCCTGCGCCCCGTTTCTCCTCCTTCGGAGGACACTTGCTGTCTTCTGCTCGTGTACCCCAAATGCCTTAAGTGCTCGAAAGAACCGGTTTGCTAGAGAAATAAAGCACAGAAGCCATTTTCCACGAGTCCCTGTTAATGCCCCTGTCCCCGTAAGATGCAGGGGGACCGGTGGGAAGTGCCATTAGGAGCATTCCTGCACACACGCATGAAAATCCACGCATAGTTTGTGCTCTTCCACGTTCAAGCTGGGCTGACATTTTCTGGCCATTTCTTGCCCTTCTAAACAAGAAAAGGATTCTGGTGTTTACGTAAGGCTATTCTTGCTTCATAAATCTTAAATTGAAACAGATTTTTTTTTTTTTCCCCCTAAACAATTACCTTCTTCAGAGTTATCATAGTACAGGATATTAGGGAAAAACCAGACTCTCCTGTTGCTTTTACCCACATCTGACTCCAATCTTAATAGCTCAGCTATTAACCCTGTAAGGTCCCCGCTCGCACACCTTGCCCGGCCGACGGTAACGTTCCTATATGACTGATCTGGGCTCGCTCTTCGCAGCCCCTTTTGTTATCCAGCAGGAGCAGCTCCGTGCCCCGTGGGTAACCAGCCCCATAAGCTGTCCTGGTGCCGGGGCTCAGAAGAAGAGGACCTGTCACCGCAGCCAGCATCCCTGCCATCATCCTCTTTCCAAGCCTGCCCTGATCCGAGCAACGCCACCCCCTGCGCTGCTCCACCACAGCTCAGAGGGGCCAAACGCCTTCCACCAGCACATCCCGGTGCTCCACCAGAGCTCATGGGGCCAAAGCAGCTCGTCCCAAAGGAACCCGTCCCAAAGCAGCCCGCAGCCTGCCACGCAAGGCACACCGCTCGGAGCCTGCCCAGCACCGCAACCAGCCAACTTGTGGGGCCGCTGCCCCCCGACGCCCCTATAGGCTTCAAGGTGTAGGATACCGGCGGTAACCTATAGGGTGCCCCGCGCACCCCATGAACCGCAGCGGAGGGGGGACAAGTTGTATGGGGGGACACGGAGCTCGCAGCACCCCGGTGGGGGGGAGCTGATGGATTTTCGTTAAATGAGGAAGGAAAATAAATGAAAGGAAAGAAATAAAAGGGAAAAGGAGAAAGGATAAAAAAAAAGGGAGAAGGAAATAAAAGTAAAAAGGAGAAAAAATAAAAAGGAAAAAAATAAAAGGAAAAGGAAAAATAAAAGGAAAAAAAATAAAAGGGAAAGAGAAAAAATGAAATAAAAGGAAAAAAGTAAAATTAAAAAAGAAAAAAATAAAAATTGAACAATAAAAACGGAGAAAAAAATAAAATTAAAAAAAAAAAAGAAAAAAAGTCATCGAGCGCCCCTGCGGAGGGACGGGACCCGCTCCCGGCAGCGGGGTTACCCCGGACGGCTGCCGCCGGGGGATGCCGCTGTCAGCCCCGGGCCGGTCCCGGCGGGACCCTGAGCGCTCCGCAACCACCGCCTCCCGCTGCCGGTGCCGGTGCTGCCCGGTGCTTACCTCCCGCGGCGCCGGGGCGCCCGCATTGACAGCGGGGGAGGCAGCGCGCTGGGACCGTGCCGTGCCGTGCCGTGCCCTGCCGTCGGGAGCCGAGCCGAGCCGAGCCGAGCCGAGCCGAGCCGAGCCGAGCCGAGCCGAGCCGCCGCCGGCCGCCCCCGCCGCGAGTGCCCGCTGCCCGCCGCCGCTCCCCGCCCTAATGGGGCTCCGCCGCTCCGCGCCCGGGACGGCGGCGGCCGCCTTCCGCCGCGCCCATTGGCTGCCGCCCGCCGCGCCCGCCAATCGCCGTCGGGAAAAGCCGGGGGGCGGGGCCAAGGCGGAGGGGGCGGGGAGAGGGGCGGCTCCGGGGGCGCGGACTCGGGGGCCGCGGGTTCGGGGCCCGCGGCCGGGGGCTCGGGGCTGGGGGCTCGGGCTCCTTCCCGGTCCCCTTCCCGGTCCCGTCCTGCCCAGCCCCGGCCCCGTTCAGGCCGCCGGAGTTTGCCTCGGTCACCCACAGCCCGCTCGTGGCTCTGCAGTGGTCCCGCAGTCCCCAAGCCCCGTAGGGGAAGGATGGGCAGCAGAGGGGCCGTCCAACGGTGGCGTCTGTGGGGCTTGGGATGGACGCCACCGCCAGATGATGGTGGATGAGGGGGTGCTGGGGGTCACAAGCTCTCCCCGCCTGGTGAGACACCCGTGGTGTTGGAAGCACAGGGGCTCTCCCCAAGGCTGGGACGCGTGCTGCCGGCCGGCAGCGCCTCTCTCGCCTCTACCCAAGAAATGGCTCGGGGTTAGGAAATGACAGCTTTCCCTTCGTGTCTTGAAGCACATTTGGGTTTCCTGTGCTGGGAGAGTAAGTGTATTATCTCGAATTCAATCTGGTCAAAGCCGGCCTTCTGTAGCAAAAGAAACAGAAACGCAGCCCTCACGGGAAGCTGCCTTAGCCCGCGACCCCAGGCTCCAAGTTTATGGCAGGCGAGAGCGTCAGAGCCACTTAGCGCCTGGGAAGGCTCAGCGGCAGTTCTCACCCTGCCCCTCTGCCCTGCTTCCTCGCCGTCTGCATGCAGCATCACCAGCGCACAGTCCAACATCTCCTTTTAAATCTTAACCAAGTCTGAAAACGAGCACCTCCAGACTGCGTCTGCGTGGACGTTGTCGGAGAGAAAGCAAAGACACTTGGTCAGGCAGGTGACACCTCATTAGCAGAGGTCTCCGTCACTTCTTCCATCAGACTGAATGCTGATGTCTCCTATAATTTAGGAGAAAACATGAAGGACCAAGCAGAAATGTGGAAAAAAAAATAATCTGGAAGGAATAAAGAAAAGGACAGCAAAGATGGTAAAAGAGCTGCTTGCACCCCCCTGCTGCTCTGCTTCTGCTTGTCCTTTGTCCCGTGCTCTTCCATGCCACCTCTTCGAGCATTTCTGTAGCTCTTATCACTAAGATCTAAATATGTTTAGGCTGTGCTTGCAGCACTACATGATTTCCGTCATTTACTCCTTCCCACTTCAAGCTCCAAAGGTATAGGAAATAAGATTGCTTGGCTTTTAAATAACCTTGTCAGAGGTGTTTACAGTCATATATTAGCAGATCTGAATCTGGAATGAAAGAATTTATGGCCAATGCACTCTTTTAAGTTGTATATCTGTTTATCTGATCCTCACTCACAAATGCCTCTAATTAAGCTATAAACCCTCAGTTTCTACTTAACCATATGGGTAGGCTGGGAAGTTTGCTACAGTAATGTAATTTACCCACTCTACAGCCTTGTCTGCAATGCAAATCCAGCATAACTGCTTTAATAGTGTTACAGCCTGCTCTGTTTCTCACTATAGGGACAGAAATAAAGCGTGTCCAAGCTACCAACTGTAGCTGTGATGAAACAGTTCTCTTGGACCTACAGGATATTGTGTTTTTACAGGGGAGAAAATACACTCATAGCCCTACCAACAACAGGGAAGAAATGCAACCCAGAAGTGCAAGTACTGAGGAAGGGGATATGATATTCTCAAACAACGTTTTGCACTTTCTGTGGGAGCTGCTCTGCTCCCCCTGGATTTGTTGCATTCTTACCTTCTGTACTGTTTGCATTTTTTGCTTGGAGGCACTTTTCTTTGACCTGAAGTCCAGATAATTTGAAGATGGAGTCTACTGCAGTGGGTTGAGAGACGTTATAAGGAAAGCTTGCACAGAAAAGAGGCCCTGGGTTAAAATAGCTATTCGTCTGTCTTAAATTCTTGTTGAATATTTCATAAATATTTATGCAAGAAAAGATATCTAAGTTGACAATAAGCAAGTTTAAAAGTGGCTTGAGTCCCAGTTTTGTTACCTTGACATAGTAGAAACTCTGACTTGCATGGAACTCTGGGCAATACTTATCTAACATATGAAAATATATCTTAAAATATGTTCCAAATTTAGGATTTTTCTCTAGAAAGTCGTGCTGACTTCAGCTATCATGAATTTCATGTGAAAAATGCAATTTTTAGCCTATGTTGCAGAAGGTTTTCTTAAAAAGTGAAGTGTGAAGAGTTGTTGTGTGATTTCTAAGAGGAAAAAGTATCTGTGTAGATTCACACAGGTACCCCAGAAGGAAATGCCTAGAGCAATCCATAAGACCTTCTTTTCCAGTCTTGCCTCTTCCAGTGACTACATTTAGCATTTCTTATTACCCTTAAGGTATCCCATGCTTTCAGATCTGAAAGGACTAGCTGACCCTTGATAGCTGAGAAGTCACACAAAACCCTTCTTGTGTAAATCACATGTAGAAAATTACAACTGCAGCTGCAGGTGGGTGCACAAGAATAGCTCCTTAGCTAGGTAGCAGAAATACCATCTAGCACTGATGTAGCTTTGAGGCTTGAAAGAGATGGCTGGACAAGATGGCCTTCAGATTTCCTCTCCAACTCTAATTGTTATGTGATCCTGTGATCCAGAGAGTTTGGATTCAGCCACTACAGATGACACAGGCCAGACTAAACATGTCTAGTTACCAAAGCAGTTAAAGTATGGGGGAATAGGAAATACCCATCCCTCGAGACGGAGAGTTTGAGTGAAGCATAGTGGGTTTGTACTGGCATTAAGCCACCCCACAGGTGCCTACACGGTGGTTTTACTCTATATGTAGAACAAAATTAGCATCAGATTAGGGATGAGGCTTTATTTATTTACTTATTTATTTATTTGTCAGATCAGATTGGATTCTTTCATTTTGTTTTAACTTTTTGCAGTGGTGTGAGCGAAGGTCAGCTTCTGGGTTCATTTGGGGACTTTTGGAGAAGAACAATGCTGTAACTGCTGCTCTCTTTCTGCAACGCTGTACATTGGATTTTATACTTTCTCTTTATTTCTTCATGTGCCTTTAGGAAGGGAGCTCACAATAGGTACAATGGCCATTTTTCCTATTTTTACTTCTAAGTAGCAGTAGGAATGCGCATGGTCTCCCTGTTTCCATGCAGAGAATATAACTGTCTTGCATGACATGGGACCTGTAAGGCACAGACAATATTTGTGCAGCCCTTTTGTCCAAAAAGCTATATAGAAGCACATCAATTATTAATATTATTGAGAACACCTTGTTCTGTTTCTGCATTGGATGCTTCTGGGCCAGTTTAACTAGAATCAAGTCATGTAGTCTGCCTGAAGCAATTAGGCATAAGCCTTCAAATGCTGATTCTTATCAAACCAACTCTTTTCTTTGGCTTATACCTAGCAATATGTTCTTTATCAGCTGTATAGATTTGGCTCAAAAACAGTCTTATGAAGCAGTGCTAATAGTTAGTTTTCAGAATGTCAGTGCTTAAGAGGGTTGTTTTCCCCACTGCCTTATCAGGCACACCACTTTCCTCCTCTGTGTCCTCAGGAGTCCCAACAATCTCCATCAAACCCACTCCAAGTGCTGGGTGGTCTTTGCAGGCTCGTTGGAAACCTTGTCCCCAGCCATTCAAGGCGGAGGAGTGCTAGGACTCCATCTCATCATCCCGGTTGGATTTCTTTTCCCCCATAAGCCTTGGTATAGCATGGACAGAGGGAAGGAATTTCATCCTGGTGGGGATTCAGGACAAAGCTGGAATGCAGGCCTGCATTTTGGAGAGGGGGTGCGTTCTCAGGTTTTCCAGTTCATGTCTTGTTTCAGGCTACACCATCTCCTTTTTTTGGCTCATTTTTACAATAGTCCTTCATTTCTGCGTAAGAGCTCTCTGCTGGTTTTTTGCTTTTTTTGTTTGCTTTGGCCTTATCCCTTGGCTCCAAAACTTTTTCAACTACATGGTCCTTCATAAGCTCTGTTTAAAAGTCGATTGAATCCTTGCATGGCCTGCTAAAAGAAGTCCCTTATGGGTTTCATTCCCAGGCATCCTCCATAGTTGCCTAACTCTCTCTGTCCTCCCTGCCCAGACTAAAATATCATTCTTATTTGAAGGCTTCATGCTCTGCCTTTGATCACAGACTTTTCTGTCAGTTCTTCTAGCCTAGTTATCTCCTCTGGACTAGGATAAAATGGGCAATTTGACTGAGATGAAAAGAACAACATTTCACTTGCAATACATGTAAGTAATCCCCATCGTGTTTCTGAGATCCGCTGTTGTGCCTTGTTCTCCTTCCCACCGGAGCTGGAGTCAGCCCTGCTAGCTGCTGTGATGTTTGGAGCAGCTCTTGGAAGGCATCCGAACATTTCTGTTCCTGGTCCAACTGTGGATGATTGTACTCTGCCTTTGGAGTGGTCTCAGATGAATCTAATTGTGTTCAAGAGATAATGCCAAAACTCCCTGCATTTCTCTAGTTCCAGATGAAGGCTGAGAAATCCAGTGGCCTTTGAGCATGTTTCCCAGTACTGCTAGGCATTAGACTCCTACCTGCACACTTATGAGGCTACCATGGATTTTTTTTCACAGCGTTTTCCCCAGGAATGTGGCCATTTCATTGCCTGGAGGCGTTTCCGTTTGCACAGGAGATAACAAGAGTGAACAGCCTTCTGTTGTCCCCGCTATGAGAGATGAAACAGTTATGAGAGCATATGTCTGATCCCACATGCACTGAGATGTTTGGTCATGAGCCATTTCATATGACCAACCCATATTTATAAGCACTACATAGAAAAGATTTGATAGAAGGCAACAAGTGCTTTTTATTGTTAAGGACCTGTGATGTTGCCAATAAACTTGATTTACCTAAAATTTCCACTTTGAGAAGCCAGAGGTGTCAGAAGTATAATACTCCACACCATTTGTCCTTTTCCTTCTCCATAATGACACTGGTGTAAACCAAACCCTAACTCGATCAGCTT